TTCTTGGCTCCCTTGTCAAAGTTTGGTTGGTGGTATATGCATGAGTTTAGTTCTGGGCTGTGTATTCTGTTCTATTGTCTATATGTCTGTTTCCATGCCAGTAACATATTGTGTAGATTACTATAGGTTAGTAATATACCTCCAGCTTTGTTCATTTGGTTCTTCAAGTTTTGTCCATTTTTCTCAAGATTGCTTTGGCTCCAGTGGCTCTTTTTTGGTTCTCTATGAATAAAATGAATGGTGGCAGTGGAATGTGTGCTCTAATACAGTTCAGAGTCAGTGGTGTGGGAATCTACAAGGGCTGGTTCTACTCTGTCTGGGTCTTTCTGTGATGTATAAAGAGGCAGATTCCGTCACTGTGTTCTTCAGAGGTCAAGAGAGTTCCTGGCCTCTCCTCCACCTCATGACTAGGCAGATGAGAGGTTAACACGTCACTGAAGATAGGGACTCAATCTCCTGGGTCTCCTGTGATTCAACCTCTTTGGCTCCTGCACAAGATCCATCTCAAGAGGAAGGCAACAAACTGGGCAATTAACTCTGTTGCTTCTTCTCTAACCAAAAGCCTGGGGTCATGTTCTCCTGGGTCTTAGTCCTGTTAGTAAATGTGGATCTTCCTGCTCATTGTTATAGGGCTTGTAAATAAGCATGGAAGGTGATAAAGATCCTTAGGCCATGGAGGCATAAGAGATGAATATTTAGGTAGCAGCCTGGACCAGCAACAATTGGCATTGATCAGAGCAAGGTGGGAAACCATCACTTGGCCTATATATGTGCATTTTTGTGAGGACTAGGAGAGAGACAGAAAATGTATGTTTATACTTCTTGGATAACCATGTGTTCTTAAGGGGTGACTGACACACACTGACCTATATGATGCTACTAGCCATATGTGACCATGAAATTAAAATTAACTGAAATTAAACTTTTTGTTCCTTGGTTGCACTAGCTATATTTCAGTTCGTCAGTAGTCACATGAGGCTAGTGTTGCTGTATTGGACAATGCAGATATAGAACACTTCCATCATTGCAGAAAGTCCTATTGTATAGTGCTGATAACAGACTATGAAGAGCTGGAAATCTCTTGCCAATGCACGTATGTGTAATTGTATTGATGTGTTTATGTTGCCTCTTTTTATGTTATTTGTGTGTTGTGTTTGACTACAGGTGATTCTTAGTGTGTAGTGGAGTTTTTGTGTGTATGTTGTTTGTGAATTGTCTGGGTGACTGGATGTGATGGTTGCATGTTTTTTAAATAACTTTATTGAAGCATAATTGATAAACAAAAAGTGTACATATTTAACGTAAACAATTTGATGAGTTTGGACGTGTGCGTACGTCCATGAAATCATCACCACAATCAAGGTATTAGACTTATCCATCACCTCCAAAAATTTCCTTGTGTCTCTTTTTTTGTGTGTCTGGCAAGGAAAGTTAATATTGGATTTACCGTTTTAATGAATGTTTAAGTGCACAATATAGTTTTGTTGACTATAGGCTCTGTGCTCTATAGCACATCTCTAGAACTAATTCATCTTGCATAACTGAAACTTTATATCAATTGAATAACTCTACATTTTCTCTTCCACTTAACCCTTGGTAATCACCAGTTATTCTCTGCTTCTATGAGCTTGACTATTTTATTTTATTTATTTATTTATTTATTTATTTATTTTAATTTTTTGTTTATTGCAGTAACCTTGGTTTATAACATTGTGTAAATTTCAGGTGTACTTCATTATACTTCTATTTCTGCATAGATTACATCATGTTCACCACCCATATACTAATTACAACCCATTGACTATTTTAAATACTTCATAAAAGTGAAATCATTCAATATTTGTCCTTCTGTGACTGATTTATTTCATTTAGCATAATGTCCTCCAGGTTCATCCATGTTGTCACAAAAGGCAGGATTTCTTTCTTTTTTAATGCTAAATAATATTCCATTGTATATATACACCACATTTTCTTCATCCATTCATCTGTCAATGGACATTTGAGATATTTCCATAACTTAATTATTCTTTAATAGTACTGAAATGAATATGGGAATGAAGATATCTCTTTGAGATCCTGATTTCAATTATTTCTGGTATATACCCAGAAGTGAGATTGCTGGATCATGTGGTAGTTCTATTTTTAATGTTTTGGAGAACCTCCATACTCTTTTCTGTAGTGAGTGCACAATTTTACATCCCCACTAACAGTGTAGAAAGATTCCTGTTTATGTGATTTTTAAGTTGTGTGTGAAAAAGTCTTTCATTTTAAACTTGTATGTCAGTTGGTATGAATCCATGCAAACCTCTACACTTTCAACCAAGATGAGTATAGGTCAGAGAGGGCCAAAAAACGGCACCTTGGGTTTGTTCCTTACTATGTCACTGTGTGTCTGCTTTTGTGTACAACATACTCACATTCTAATTCTCTTCACCTTTAATGGATGTAGAGCAGAGGGCCAAGTGAGTGACATAGCAATATGTGTATGCACTTGACCTGGTGAAACAGCCTTGCAGCCTGACTCTTCTTTTGTCTTAGCTCTAGAGATAAACAGGCAGCTCTAAGAGGAGTCCTCTTTATGCTGAGTTGGTGGCAATTTGTCATTGTGGTGTGAAGGCTACTGAACTCTCTGGGGCCCCAAACTTTCTTCATTGACTTTCAGTTATTTCTACATTTCCACTTTTGGAAACATGGTGTAGTCATTTTTGGAACCTTGTCTAGTTAATCAGATGACTGTGAATTCTAACTCCTCGGTCCTACAGCATCTGCAATATCTCGGTTCTCCGGCCACATGATTGGGCAGATTCTCACCTGACTTACTTTGCCTGTATGCTCAGAACTTAGCCATTTTAAAGCAGTGGAGGTTGAAGGGGAGGGAGAGACAATGGCAGATATGAAATAAGTTATTTATTGGCAAATTCATTTAAAATACAGTGAGTTAATTGTTGTGGATGTACTAATCTTCAGGGGACATGTTCTCACCCCTCACTGTTTCCCTGCATGTGGGAGAGAGACCACAGAAGTAAACACACATTTTCAGGAAGCTACTTGATCTTGTTTGATGGCCATCTCATACCTTTGTTATCTTTAATTCCTGATGTGTGATCTTGGTCACTCATCCTGCCAAAATAATGAGTTTATTTTATTTTTATTTTTTGGTCCTCTCCTTTTGACTGCCATTTTTAGTCAATAACTTATTAATTCTTGTTGATACATTTTCTAAATTAAAAAAAAATTATTGGGGCCGGCCCAGTGGCGTAGTGGTTAAGTGTGTGTGCTCTGCTGCAGCCACCTGGGGTTCGCAGGTTCGGATCCCGGGTTCTCACCAATGCACCGCTTGTCAAGCCAGGCTGTGGCAGCGTCCCATATAAGGTAGAGGAAGAAGGGTACGGATGTTAGCCCAGGGCCGATCTTCCTCAGCAAAAAGAGGAGGATTGGTGATGGATGTTAGCTCAGGGCTAATCTTCCTCATGAAAAAAAAAATATTGTGGTAAAATACATGTAATACAAAAATTTACCATTTCAACAATTTGTAAGTGTATAGTTCTGTGGCATTAAGTACATTCACATGGTTGTACAACCATTACCACCATCCACCTACAAATTTTTTTTAAATACCCAGATTGAAACTATACCCATTGAACAATACCTCCTTATTTTCCTTCCCCCCCGTCTGTAGCAACCATCATTTTACTTTTTGTCTCAATGAACTGACTATTCTAGGAGTCTCATATAAATGGAATCATATAGTATTTATACTTTTGTGACTGGATTATTTTACTTAGCATAATGCCCTCAAGGTTCATCCATGTTGTAGCATGTGTCAGGATTTCCTTCCTTTTTTAATGCTGAAAAATATTCCAGTCTATGTATATCCCACATTTTGTTTATCTTTTTATCTTTCAAAAGATATGGGTTGTTTCCATCTCCATTGGCTGGAGCCAATGTCTCCAGCTATTGTGAATAATGCTGCTTTGAACACGGGTGTATAAATACCTGTTTGAGACTCAGCTTTCAATTTTTTGGGAGTATATACCCCAAAGTGGAATTGTTAGATCATATGGTAATTCTATGTTTAATTTTTTGACAAACTGCCATAATGTTTTCCACAGTGGCTGCACCATTTTACATTGCTACCAACAATGTGCAAGGGTTGCAATTTCTCCACATCCTTACCAACACTTGTTATTTTGTTTTTTTTTTTTCTTTGCTGAGGAAGATTTGCCCTGAGCTAACATGTTTTTCCAATCTTCCTCTTTTTTTGCCTGAGGAAGATTCACTCTGAGCTAACATCTGTGCCAAACTTCCTCTAATTTGTATGGGGGTCACCACCACAGGATGGCTTCTGGCAAGTGGTGTAGGTCTGGGCCTGGGAACTGAACCTGGGCTTCTGAAGCAGAGTATGACAAACTTAACCACTAGGCCACGTAGGCAGACCAACACTTGTTATTTCCTTTCTTTCTTTCTTTCTTTCTTTTTTTATAATAGTCATTCTAATGGGGTGAAGTGAGTCTATGCCTTTAACACTAATTTTATATGTGGTACACTTTTTATCCTCCAAATAATGCTGTAAGTGGTGTGTGTGTGTGTGTGCGCACGTGTGTGTGAGAGAGAGAGAGCGCACAACAATTGGGATAAACAAAAATCAGACATAAGCACGTAAGTAGTGCTACAGAGCCGTGCTCTTAATCAGTGCCCTATTAGGTTGCTCACTAGGATATGGGCTCCCAGAGGAAGTGACTGTGTCCTATTTACTACTCACTCCCTAGTGCCTATCATAGTATCATAGTATCTCCTATCATATTATCTCCATTTGTGTGAAAAAAAATGAATTGTTCCTGATTTTGCATTGGAGAGTTTGATGTCACATACCTTCTCTAAGCGACCGTCACAGCGTACAGACAATTCGTATTGCACTATGCATTACAGTAATTGCAATGCTCAGTATTTCTAAGTTCTTGACATTTCCCATTTCTCCTCATTCCCAGAAGACAGAAGAGCAACATGAGGAGGGAGAACCAGAGCAGCGTGTCCGAGTTCATCCTCCTGGGGGTCCCCATCCCAGTGGAGCAGCAAGGCCTGTTCTTCGCCCTGTTCCTGGGAATGTACCTGTCCACGGTGCTGGGGAACCTGCTCATCATTCTGCTCATCAGGCTGGACTCTCGACTTCACACCCCTATGTACTTCTTTCTCAGCCACTTGGCCTTCACTGATGTTTCTTTCTCATCTGTCACTGTCCCAAAGATGCTATTGAACATGCATACTCAACACCTATCCATCTCCTATCCAGGGTGTATTTCACAGATGTATTTTTACCTCTTTCTTGGTTGTGTGGATAGTCTCCTTCTTGCAGTGATGGCATATGACAGGTATGTGGCCATCTGTCACCCTCTCCATTACACCACCATTATGAAAGAGGGGCCGTGTGTGCTGCTAGTGGCTGGCTCTTGGATTCTGTCCTGTGGCAGTGCCCTCTTGCATACACTCCTCCTGGTCCAGGTGTCCTTCTGTGCTGACAACATCATTCCCCACTTTTTCTGTAGCCTCTCCATTCTACTCAGGGTGTCCTGCTCAAATACCTCTCTCCATGAACTGGTCATATTCACTGCAGGGGGCGCAACTGTCATTTTTCCATTGAGTGGCATCTTGGTCTCTTATGGCCACATTGGGGTCACTATTCTGAAGGTCCCCTCTACCAAAGGGATCTGCAAAGCCTTGTCCACCTGTGGCTCCCACCTCTCTGTGGTGTCTCTATTCTACGGTACAATTATAGCACTGTACTTTTCCTCGTCGTCGAGCAACTCCAATGACAAAGACATGATTGTCTCACTGATGTATACAGTGGTGACCCCCATGTTGAACCCCTTCATCTACAGCCTAAGAAACAGAGACATGAAATTGGCTCTGGGGATTCTTTTCAGAAACAACATCCTTTTCGCCAAGTGAGAATCATGTAACCATGTTTTCATTTCACCCACTGACCTTGTCAGAGATGCTTTCTTGAAAAATAGTGTGTTGACCACACATGTCCCTAGCAGCCTCCCAACTGTCCTTCACATGGGCAGTTATGTTATTGGATCCAATCCCTTTCATTTTCGTCACATCTGTGGACAATTTCTTCCTCCATAACCCTAAATATGGCATTCCCCCGACACACATTCATCTTTGTAGTCTTCAAGGCACCAAACTCCTTATTAGCAGGTGTGTGAATGATCATTTTGAATAGCTTGCACTACTGTTTTATCCTTCTGAAGAGAGATGAAAGACTTGCTAATATAACAAAGCACACCACCCTCCTATCTCAAAAGGAAAACATGACACCAGCAATTTATGTTTAATTTTTAAAGATAAAACCAGTTTTGCTTTAGGCTAAGATTACAGGTATGAAATGTAATTGTATTTTGGACTAAGCTTTACCTTCACACACCCTGAGTTTCTGACTCATAAGTGGCAGATGGTCAGAAGCCTCAAATATGTTATGGTACCTCACTTTATAATGAAAGGAATATTTGGACTCTCAAGCATAGCCAGTTTAAATTTTTTGGAACACTGTTTTGACAGGTAAAAAAAAAAGCCTCCTCATCAATAGGTATTATAGCTTTTAATTATCACTCACAGTTTCTACCTGTTGAAATAAATGAGATATAAATGAGCCCCTCATTTCCTCTTTCTTGTCTGTTGGTTTCCAATGCTACAAATATTCAGTGAAATTTCTAATGTTTAGTTTTAGTAAAGTCCAGAATGTTTACTTTCTTAATGTAGTAGCTAGCTAATAAAGTGCTTTTGATGGTTTGCTAAAACTTAAATGAACTTTAACTTGATTTTGCCTGTGACAAGGACTTAATAAGGGAACACAGAAGAGTCAATGCAATTACCAAATTTCCCCATTTTAGGAAGACTGTGATTTTTCCCTTGAAGTTGGATTTTTGTGATGAGAACAGCTTACATCTGTCTCAATAATTTTAGTCTGGGAAAATGAGTGCTTTAGTCTTGCTCCCAAACTGAGAGATGTCACTTCTAATAGGGAAAAGCTAAATGCATGGGTTCATAATTTATGCACACAAAAATATTTACTGCGTGACTACTACGTGCTGGGCAATTTTCTAAGTTCTGGAAATAGAAGTTAAAAAAAGGACCCCCAAATCAATCCCCGCACAGAGTCTACACCCCAGCACTCCTGAGCCCACTCATGATGCTCCTTTTTTTCCACAGCAATACTTCTAATGCACCATACGGTTATTTCCTTTATTATCATTGTTTCTTTCCTGGAATATAAGCTCTACAGAAGATGAGTTTTGTGTCAGAAATAAATAAATAAATAAATTCTAAATTTTGTTTATAGGTAAAAACTGGTATGAATTAAGGAAGTATCAAAAGGGAAAGCAAGAGTGCTGGGGGGGTTAATTTAACATTGTGTGGTCCAGGTAGAGCTCATTGGAAAGGTAACATCCAAAGAGGTATGTGAAGACAGGTAAGCAAGCCATGGGGATATGTAGGGAAAAGCATTCTAAGCATGAAGATCAGTAGCTAGAAATACACTGAGGTGAGATGGTGCCTGGAACCATCTCAGGAATATTAAGGAGGCCTCTGTAGCTGAGCAAAGCTGAGTGGTGAAGGGATGGAAGGCAATAAGTTTAGAGATATCATGGAACCATATTTGTAGGGCACTTAAGGTCATAGTAGGTGATCAAGGTTCTCCAAAGAAATAGAACCAATAGGTTGTGTGTGTGTGTGTGTGTGTGTGTGTGTGTGTAGAGAGAGAGAGAGAGAGAGAGAGAGAGATTTATTTTACGGAATTGGCTCATGCAATTGTGGATGTTGCCAAGTTCAAAATCTGCAGGATAAGCTGGCAGGCTGGAAATCCAGAGAAAAGTTGCAGTTTGAGTCCGAAGGTAGCCTGCTGGCAGAACTTTCTCTTTATTGGTGAGAAGCCAGACTTTTTCTTAAGGCCCTCCACTGATTGGATGAGGCCCACCTACATTGTGGAGGGCAATCTGCTTTTCTCAAAGTTTGCTGACTGCAATGTTAATCCCATCTAAAAAATACCTTTATAGAAACACCGAGAACAGTTTTCAACCAAATATCTGAGAACTGTTGCCTAGACAGGGTGACACATAAAATTAACCATCATAGTAGAGTTTTTGATTTTCAATCTGAGTGATTTGGTAACCTATTGGAAGGTATTCAACAAAGGAATAACATGATCATGCTTAATTTTGTTATTGTTTCTTTAAAACAAAACCCGGATTTTCAAGGTATAAGTTACATACAATAAACCTCATATATTTAAAGTATACAATTTGAATAGTTTTTACATACGTATATACCTATGAAATATCACCACAAGCCGTCAAGATGATCAAGTTTCTCCATGCCTACCCCCCTGCTCCCTCTTCACTCCTGCCATCTGTCCCCAGGGAATCAGAGATTTGTTTTCAGTCACATAGATTAATTTGTATCTTCTATAAGTTTATCTCAATGGAATAATACAGTATGTATTCTTTCATTGGTGCATCTTTCCCCTCAGCACAAGCATTTTGAGATTCATCCCCATGTTCTAAGATGTATCAATAGTTCATTCTTTTTATTGCCGAGTAGTGTTTCATTGTATGGATATACTACAGATTTTTGCCAATTCACCTGTTGATGGACATTTGGGCTCTTCCCAAATTAATGGTTTGGTCATTAGATAAAGCTGTTATGAACATTCTTGTGTCATTCTATGCATAGACATATATATTGTTTTTCTTTGAGCAAATACCTAGTCATATGCTAGGTATATATTTAGTTTTTAAAGAAATTGTCAAACTATTTTCCAAAGTGGTAATAACATTTTACATTCCCAGGAGTGATGTATGAGACTTCCAGTTTCTTTGTAGCTTCAACCACACTTGATAGCAGCAGTCCTTTTAATTTTAGCCATTCTAATAGGTATGTAGTGGTGTAAACCAGTTTACAGACCTGTAGCCACTTGATTGGAGGGGTGTCTGGGTTCTTTTGATCAAGAAACCTGTAAACCAGGGTTTTTTTCTGAATTTCTCCTTGATTCTCCCTATTCCATGTCTGATGTTTTTATACCTCAGCACTTTTCACCATTTACCTACCAATTATTTTGCATTAAATTTTTTCTGCACCCCCCCACTTGGATGTATGTTTCATGAGAGGGATTTTGTTTATATTATTCACTACTACATCTCCAGGGCATCAGTGTCTTACTTTTATGAGAGCCTTAATCATTATTTGATAAGTGAACAAGTGAATGAATGAACAAATGAATCCATTCAGCAATTACCAAGTGTCTTATTATGAGCCATAGCTGACCCCTAGTGATACAAAGACATTGACCACAAACCTTAACATTTACTAAGCTTTCATTATGTGCTCATTTAACCATCCTTCAAATTCACACTGAGTACTATTATTATGTCCACTTTGAAGAACCTGAGCCTCAGAGATCTTTTATTTGCTCAGGTATGCTCTGTTAGTAAGAGGGAGACCTCAGAGTCTTTTTTTCAGAGCTTATAAACTCAATGCCCCTACTCCTGAGCAAGGCACAGACGCTACCCTACAGCACCTCTCAGAGGAGTAGGCAGACCAATAAGTCTTAATGGGCACTGTGTTCTATTGGAGGCCTGAGTAGGAGTTGTGGGAGCCTGCAGAAGCCTGCTGAAACCCTTACAATGCTTGCTCCCACTCACAAAAAAAAAAATAAAAATAAAGGGGGAAGGAGAAAACTTTTGGAGGTGATGGATATGTTTATGACCTTAATTGTGGTGATGGTTTCCTGGGTGAATACTTATCTTCAAATTCATCAAGTTCTATAGGTTAATTACATACAGCCTTTTGTATGTCAATCATACGTCAATAAAGTGTTTTAAAAAACAAAATAATGCTGGAGATCCTAGTCAATGAAATAATCATCTACAACTTTGTATGTACCACTCATAGATACATACAAAACAGGAAAGCATACTGAGGGGGTCATGGGAACCCCTACATTTGTAGCCACATTTTCAGAAGTGCAGGTGGCCTGGAGACCCCAAGAAATTGAGGCTGGCTTCTAAAATGGAGATAGTCTTGTCAGGAACCATGCCCTTAAACCTAAAATAAAAAACAAACCAAAAAAAACCAGGAATGCATAATATGTGTACCAAAAGATATATTCAAGAATTTTCATAGCAGCTCCCCACCCAGGCCCTGTCATAATCCTGTCTTTCCCTCTGCCTCCAGGAATTCAGTGATCACCCAGATTAAGTTGCTCCATTCAGCACGCAACAATTACACCATCAGGCTGGATGAGCACTTTGGGGCTTGGTTCCAGGCCATGGAGCTGCTCAGCAAGGTGGAGAGACGAAGGCAGGACAAGAATTGAGGATGGCAGGGAGGGACTCTCCCTGGGAGCCAGCTCCAGAGATCTATGTCTACAGCCCCTTGTTCAGTGTCAAATCCTGTTGCCTGGTGACAGCTGGGCACCTGAACTCCAGCTTCTGGGTAGGCACTGGGACGGAGACTTGAGTGTGGCTCCTGATAGTCCCATAGCAGACCCTCTGTCCTGTAGCTACAACGTGTCATGCGAGCTGGAGCCGCCATCTGAGTCAGCCAACAACACCTTCAAGGCCAAGAAAAACATGCCATCCTGAAGTTTTGGAGCAAGTGAGTGCCAAGACCAAGGCTGGCAGGAGTGGGCTTCTCGGAACTCAGAGAAGCTTTACCTTTAAATGCAGGCATGGGGAGTCATACAGCCTGGAGCAGGGATCCCAGCTCCACTGCTGGCCAGCCTTGTAATAGAGTGAGTCATTTCACCTCTCTGGGCCTCAGTTTCCTCCTCTATGAAATGGAGTGATGCTAAATGATCTTTCAGAAGGCTGGAGCAAATGGGATGCTGGTGACCAAGCAGTTAGCACAGTGCCTGGAGCAGAGTGCAGTTAGGGGCAGGGGCAAGGATA